GCCTCATGACCTGAGCGCTCCTCAGTGGCCCATCTCTCCTCACAGTGCGCTGGGGATTCAGACCCGGAAGTCCGGCCACACTTCCCCCTGGCCTTCCGCTTCTGCTTTTGCCCTCTGAATGGCAGCCTGGAGCCCCAGCACCGCTCGCACCTGCTCAGACCCCACTGTGGCTTCCCACTGCATCTAGGGTGTTACCATGCGTGGCCCGCTGAGGCCCACAGGCTCCAGCTCCTGCCTCTCCTGCCAACCTCACTTCCTCCCTGCCCCTGCCTGCCTCCAGGGCCTGCCACATGCATGGCCTGGTCTGTATCCCTAAACAAACAGCAACGTGCCTCACCTACCCAGTCAGGCTCTGCCCGCTTGCCGTGCCCTCTCACTGAACCCGTCTTTCCACTCTGCTTTCTGCCGCTGATTTCCTGTCACCCTTCAGGTTTCAGATGAAATGTCACATTGTCCTCGGAGAGTTCTTGCCTCAGCCTCTTCAGAACACCTCCCACTCCCTGCCCTGGTTTCTCTCAGGGACTGCTCCGGAGTTCCTTGGTGGTATTTGTTGCAATCACTCATGGTTTGTTTATTCACATTCTCAGTGGACACGGGTCTGTTCTGGACCCTAGCACGAGCTCAAGGAGGGAGTGTAACTGCTTTGTATTCCTAGTCTGGCTGATTTTAAAGAATAAACAAGCAAGTAAACACGGAGGGAGCAAAACTCTAATATGGAGCTTCTGAAAATGATGCAATGTGTAAAATCCTGGCTGTTTTTCAACAGGCTGGACTAGCGCTCTCTATGAATGTGCTGCCTAATTATTCATTCCACTTCAATGTCTTGACCCCTCTTACTTTACTGTATTATTCACCAAAACAGCTTGACTCCTGCTTCTCATTCTTTCAGCATCTTGTCTTACTCTCTCCCTTCCACACCAGCTCCCGGCGTCCCAGCTGATACCCTCACCTCCTCCATCAGCCGATCACAGCAGGCTTCCTACCTGCCCTCTCAGCTGAGCTCTTGGATCCTGCATTTCACCTTCCTCACAGACACAGCTCCTACCTTTCACTTCACCTCCCCCTAAGAAAGCCATGCTCTGTCTTATTACAGTAGATGCAAAATCCCCAGAGCCAAATTCCATTCAACCGCATTCTCCCACCTAAATCGGTCAATAATACTTCCCATGATCCCTTTACAAAAGTCCTTCAGGGTACTCGAAGGCTTTTCTACCCCCAATAAACCAAGCTCATTACCCACTTCGCATTTTCATTCAGTCATTCCCCAGACTGGGCGGCTGTCTCCCTGCACCAGCTTGAACTAAGCGTCTCCTTCACGGCGCAACTTGGTCGAACTTCTGCTCTACGGCCACACCTCCCAATCCCTGCTCTCGTGCTCTTTCCTTCTTTCCCGTTTCTGATAGAATTTAAAGCATTTCTGTGTAACACTGGACCAGACAAGGCTTCTTGGTCTTCAGTTATTTCCTATGTGCAAACTGTGTGTGTGTGTGTGCGTGTGTGTGTGTGTGTGTGTGTGTGTGCACAGCACTGAGAATCGAAGTCAGGGGTGCCGAGCTATATCCCTGCCCCTTTTTATTACTGTAAGGCAGGATCTCACTAAGTTGCTCTCCTTGGACTTGCGATCCTGCCGCCTCAGCCTCCCAAGTGCAGTAGGTGTGACTGTAAGTGTGTACCACCAAGTCCAGCCATACACGTACATTTTACCTCCCAAATGAGACTGTGAGCAAGGATAGTTTCTTCCTTCTTCTCCAAGAGGTGGCAAAAGCAGCAAGGTTCTAACAGGAGTTATTTACACTGACAACGACTTACACCATCCTGCCAATGGGTCCCATCAAATTCCAGACAACCGACCATGTCGTGGCTCACCATGTCCTCTCCGCATGAGCTCTGGATGCCTGAAATACTCCCGCTCCACCTTGGTTCACTTGGCAGATCACTGGTGTCTTTCCAGTCTCAAATGGACAGCACTTACTGAGGAAAGAAGTATCCCTCACCCCTTCCTCCTGGGGTAACAGCCGTGTAAGGTGCCACCCCTCACATGCCCACTAAATGCTCCTGGCTCCAAGCTCCTGGCTTACCATACCGTGAATGTCTGTCCACTGGTATCTCCTACGAAGATCAAGGGACTTATCTTTTATCTTTACAGCAGCAGAGCAACAGTTCTTTATTATTTGTTAAATAAACTGATAAAGAAGCTGGTAAAGAACCTGTTTAATGTGTAAAGAATTTAAAATCATCGTTAAGTAATATTAACTACGTTAAGTAATATTCAGTACACCACAGCTCATGCCCTTAGAGTGTCTATTTGTTTTTAATTTGAAACACAATTATTGAGCATTTGCTACAGGTCAGGCACAGAGGACACACAAAAAGCTCAGACAGATAACCCTAACCTAACCTTGAGGAACTTGCATCTTACTAGGGAAACAGCCCAGGGATGATGGCTTTTGCTCTGACTGAGTTGGAAAGGACAGAAGAGTTCTGAGCAGGTTTCCGCCATGGTACAGACATAAGATGATACTATCCAGCCTGAAACGTCAAAGGCACACAGCAGTGACACAGTGGATTGTTTCAGAAGCAGAGTCAGTGGGACTGGCAGACGGACCAGAAGCAGGGTATGCAGAGAGGGGATCAAAGGCAAATGGCAGGCAGGTGGGGGAACCGTGGGACAGAAGGGAAAAATTAGGAAGGGCACAAGTGCAGAGAGAACGTGTAGGTCTCTGAAGAGATTTTCTAAAATTATGCCTTGAATTTTAATGTGCCAACTTGTATAGCTAAACTTCCTTGGGAATATTTCCCATGAACACTAAGAGTTGTCATGCGTGATTCTTAGATAAGCTGATAGCATGGAACAGAAAACCTTGGCCAACCGTGACCAGTGTGGCTCCGTGAACCACTGTCTATTCTAGGGACCCTACAAAGGCCACTATGGTATATTTTCCAAAACTCTCTCAAGTTTTATTTTTTAAACGATGAACACAACATAGACACAACTACAGCTCACAATTTCCATGCCTGCAAATACTGTACACACGCTGAAGCTCAATGTTATTATCATCACCAGTATTAATAATTATTCATAATATTGAATCATCATTTGGGTGTCAAGTGCACACATGGGAAAGAGGCCAAAACTATCACCCTGTCTTCATTCATAATCTAGTCCCCGGTCAAAGGAGATAAACTTGACCTAGGAGTAAAAAGACTACAAAGTCAAAGGTTCCCGTGTGGGACTCAGAATAACTTAAGCCACCTAAGCCTAAATAGTGAGATGGAACAGTAGGAGATTTGGCCAGCTACCTAAATAACCTAAATAATCAGCTGTGGTACTTAATGGCTATAATGTGGGTTGAAGCTAGTAATGATCATTTATTTTTTCAGGCATTGATGTATATGTCTATAAATCTTACTGACGGGGGATTCAGAAAATGAGACTGTTTATAAACATAACATGCAACAGGAAGTCTGTATAATGACTGAGTCTCTTGCAAAATAATTTAGAGGAGGTCACACTGAGTTATAACTTGGCCTTCAGAGCTTCCCCTGGGAAGCAGCAAACCGTCCTCACTCAGTTTGTGAGGTTTTCTTCTTTCCTTTGCGAGCCCTAAGTAGTTTACACAATAAATAGCTATTTCCAGGGTAGAAATGGCCAACATGTCTAAGCCTCAAACTGAACCTGTTATTATGGTTAGGAATCAAGGTTGCCCTTCTTCCAGATTTTCACAGCCACACATTTGACCCAGCTGATGGAAATGTATGAGTAAACACCATTTCCTGATCTCCTAACAAAGGTAAAATCCAACAGGCTGAGGTATTCATTTTGCTGGCACGTGATGTAATACAAAGAGACCTATGGTGCATTCATATAATTACAGGACAACACAGGTACCTATCAAAGGGAGAATTCTTCCATAAATATTCCTACTTCGCTCACTGAGCACTTCAATAGAAGGCAGATTTCAAAACTGCATCCTCTTTGTAATTTGTTGACAGCATTGAAGAATAAAATTGAACCTTTCAGAGTCTTAATTCACCCCATAACCGGAAATCAGTCCTATCCCAAGCAATCTCATTGCCAGCATACGTAACTGGGAAAAACTCCCCTCTGCTCCTATGTTTGTTCTCCCGCCTGAAATTCACTCGTGACTGTGAACTTCTCTTTCTTAAAAGTCACCTCCCTCCACAAGCAGGAAAGCGATAGGCCTTCCCTCCTCTACCTCGCAGAATTGAGGTGTGAATCCGCAGCCCCTGGATAGCTCCCGGACACCGAAGGGCTGACGAATACACGGAGGGGACAGCTACACGCACCCTGTCTGCTGCTAGGAGGCTCTGAGCATATGCATCACCGTGCTCAAAAGAGACCGCGTTCTATGACGTGACCCTTTTACAACATACGGTGTAATCGGGCGAAACATTAGGGGTTAGAACTGTCATGCTTTGGGTAATCGTCACATTTCAGTGTTAACTTCTCAGATGTTCTGCTATCGGCAAAATATAACATACAAACACAAACTTTGAAGTCAAAGTAATACATGGCCATATAACACTGCACACAGTCTGTTGAAACGCAGAGTTAAAATTTATAAATTGGAAAATAGGACACCAAGTAAGAACTTTGTGAAAATAATGTTAAAATTATACTCAAATCCTTTCACGCTACACTAAAGAAGCAAAGATGCAAGTAAGTTAAAGACTATCCGCTCAAGGAAATCATCAGTTGAAGTCAGTCCTCGCATCCCTGGGCAACCACCAATGACCCCTGTGTTGCTCAGACTTTCACATATTTTTAAAACCTACTCAGTATTCTGAAGTAACAACTAATTCATTTCTATGAGTCCTCTGATCAAATTTTTAAACCTGCTTTTCAAGATCACTTTCTTGTCACCTTGTTTGCTCCCATTAAGTCGACAATTTTGATCAATTATATAAAAATTTTCAAACAAATGAAAGCTAAGTCACAAACTATACCAAAATAAAACACAAAATAAGTTGTCTCCTACCTATGGTTGTAATAACAGTGCCAGCAAAGAAGAAGGAACTTCCCAAATCCCAGTGACTGATTTGATTGGAGGTGTTTCCTAAGGGGATAATCCCTGCATTTATTGCTGCCACTATTTGCTGCAAGTTTAAAAAGAGATTTATCAGTACAACAATCACACAGAGGCATCAAACACCATAAATCCCACCCAGCAATGACAAAGCACACAAAGAGAATCAATTCTAAGGTTTTGCTTTTCTAATTAAAATGTACAATAGAGATTAAAACTTTATACTGTAGAAATTAATAGCAGTTAAATATAAAATATTTACATTGATGGCAAGTAAATGGACCCGCACAGGTATTCTAATATTGTACCACGTGCACACACATCATCATCTAAGAATGTGTTTAGTGACATTTGCATGAACAACTAAAATGATAATAGTTTCTAGTCAGCACCACAGGCTGGTTACAGATTAAAATATCTGATTGGAAATTAAGGTTTTCATAAGCAATAAATGATGCTTCATCAAAAACTGCATTTCCCAAGTGCTAATCATTTCAAATGTCAAACATATGCACCCAGGCCTGGGTGGCCTAAAACTATACACAGCAAATAACAAAAGGTCCCTACCTGACAATGTGAAATAGGAAAAAAAAAAGGGCTAAAGGAGTAGGGGAAAGGAGTAGTAGAAAGGGTAGGGGGAAGGAAATAAGGAAAAAGAAAGAGTATGAAAAAAGAAAAAAATGGAAACAAAGGTTTTGCAAACAAGGAAGGGTGAAGGGGGTGAAGGAAGGGCAGGAGAATGGGGAAAAAACAAGAACCAAGATGCATCATGTAAAGGCACAAGATCCCACTGATGAAGGTAACTGCGTCGTTTACCCTAAACGGACCAATAAACTTAATGAAAATAAAAAAGGGTCCCACAAAGCAGGGCAAATGGAAAGGTAAGAGATAATAGAAATTCAATGTTAAGTGTAAGTCAGTCCAGTCACACGAAGGTTCCTTGAATTTCTACCGTTTCTCACAGATTCTACAACAACGAGGAGCATTCACAGAACCACCACTGGGATTTGGACTCTACCTTGAGGAGCACTGAGGGGTGGACAGGAAAATGATGTAATCCCTTCTCCAGTCTGCAGACCCAGGGCGGATAAAGGAGAAGATCCAGAAGCACAAATAAGAGTATTTTAGAAGGAAAGGGACAGACAGATGATGTCTGTGTTGGAAACCCAACTTTTAGAGATCTTTACCACTGAATTTCCAGGTTTCAAAACTGGAAAGGCTATCATTTGATAGGTAAGGAAATTAAAGATCCACAAAAGCCACATAGTTCACTTGAAAGCAGACAAATAAATAAGTGAACTCTGAAGATGGAGTTTCCACCCAAGCAATGACCAGCAGAAGGAAAAGACAAGGTAACCAAGAGATGAAATGGAATTTCGAATCTCATTTCAGAGCCGATCCTTACAATAGCTGTCCGACTTGTCTTAATATATAAATTAAAACTTCAGTAGTTGTGTGTGAAGTCCACTGAATTGTATTCCTTTTATTTATAGTGATATGCGTTCCTTATTTAAAATTTCAGAAAATACAGAAAGGCATTAAATAGACAATAAAATTATCCATAACTCTAGAATCCAGAGATAACCGCTATAATATGTTAAGATGTAGAGCCCTAGTAGTTTGATATATTTTACATAGTTGGATTTATGAATATTGTATTCTCTGTTGTATTGTTCAGTCATGTGAAAGGTAGTATCCTCTGTCTACTTAATAATAGTCCAAGCTGGGCATGGTGGCCAGCACTCAGGAGGCTGAGGCAAGAAGATCACCATGAGTTTGAGGCCAGCCTAGGCTACCTAGCAAGTTTCAAGGCAAGTGTGAACTATGTAGCAAGACCTTGTCTCAAAAAAAAAAATTCCTTATGTAGTTTTTCTTTGTCATTATGATATTTGCTTAATTACAGACCAAGATACAGGTATATATGTTGTTGTAAAATTTGTCTTATTATAAAACATGCCACTATAGATAAATTTGTGTACAAATATTTTCTCATTTCTGAGCATTTCCTCAGAAGAGATTGCCAGTAGTAAATTTGCTACATTGAACAATAGGAATATTTTAATGCACCTGACTGATGTATGATAGCAAACAGCTATTCAAGAAGGTTTTCCATTTGCAACTGCCTCCTCACAATTTATGAATGCTTAGCAATACCCCTAATATCAATCATACATTATCATTACCAAGCTGATTAGAAATGTTTCCATGCTTTTTTCTTTTATTGTAGTATTGGACACCAGTCCTTCCTTTATCCCATGATAAATGCACATAGGTACATACATGTGAACATTTATGCACAGGATACAGTAAAGACAGTTTGGAGATAGCTCTGTATTTCTGACTTCCTATTATAAACTTTAATAAAAGATACAACAGAGGCCCACTATTCTTTAAAAACCTGTCCTTGCCAGTTCCTGCTCTCTCTTATCCTTGAATCAACTTTGCAATCATTAGTTAAAATTTGCAGAAATTTCCATTGGTTTATCATACTTCCACTGAAATATGCTAAATATGTCAAATACTGATATACTGAAAATACATGAAATCTAGAAATTAATTAAAACGAAAATGTTATACTGTAGTCAAACTTACCACTAAGAAATATAGTAAGAATGTAATTTACTGAGTACCCTATAATACAGAGTGATGTTATATATTCCATATGTTTATTCTTTGTTTTTTCCACTTATACACAAATACATACATACATACATACATACATACATACATACATATATACATATATATATATTGCTTATCCTTTGCGTCAGTCCTTCTCAAATTTTTATCTGAAAATCATCTCAAAATTTACTGATGAAATCAGAGAGCTTCTGTTTATTTGAATCAGTAATATTTACTATATGTAAATTTATATGTAATTTTAATTTTTAGAATTTTTTTAATTCATGTAAAACTATCATCTAGCTTACTAGGAAAGAGCTGTATCTTACTAGATACTTCTGCATTCAGTTTGCTAGGAAAGCTCATTACATCATCCCTGGAAAACTCCACTGTACAATCATAAAATGGAGCAAAAAAAGACAAAAATGCCCACACATTATTAAGAAAATAGCTTTGACCTTTCAAACCTCTTTAAGGACCTTGGAAACCATATCTTGAAAAGTACTGCTCAATATTGAATTTATTTTTCTTTTTTGTTTGTTTGATTTTCTTTTTTCCTAACTGGAAAACCAAAGTAAGCAAGCCTACCACTTACAAATAATGACATTTTATCTCTGTCTGTATCTTTCAATACCTGTTTCATTACTTTTCATCTCTTATTGTATTGGCCAATACTTCCAGAACAATGTGAAATAAGATAGTTTCGGCAGATTCTTTGCTTTTTATCATGTAAAATCGTCAGTGTTTTCAGTGCTTTATTGTTACATATGTTAATTATTGCCCAGAAAATGGCATTTAATTATATACATTATGAAAGCACACAAATGAAAAGGACAGACAAACAGAACTTGAAATGGTCTAGAACTCTAAAATCAGCACAGGGAAATATGTTAAGATAGCCATAACCATACAAAAGACGTAATAAATAAGAGAAGACATAAATATGATTGCATTTTAGCAGAAATCAAGTAAAACGATCTTATTTTGGAGGCTCTAACTCCAGCAACTTCACAGGCTGTGTAGCTAAGGGAAAAAGAAAAAAAAGTGAGGCATCACAAAACCAAACAGAAACCTGCTTAGCATGACCCTGTTGTCCCTGAACTGCTGAGGTGAGGAACAGCCTCATGGTTAGAAGGCCTGGTAACATCACCCTCAGACACCATTCATAGACCCTGCAGGCACAAGCACCAGGAACCCCGGCAAAACATTAACACTTCCAGGGAGAATCAGAAAAGAAAAAATAGATTTTTATATGTTGCAGACCGTTCTTAATACATTCATTTATTCAAAAATAGTTACCAGGCAGTGGGGAAGCAACAATCAAGTAAATATCTGAACGATACAGATGAGAAAGGACAAGGCAAGTTTTCAGACTTCACTCAATTAAGAAAAATGAATTATTTTATTGACTGGAGCAAGCTTACACCTCCAATAGTTGATTTGCCATAGCATTCATGGCAAGCATCATAACTGTTACATGCTTTACCTCGTCGATCGTGGGGTACAGTGTGCCTCAGTCAGACACCTGGAAAAGGTCCACAAATTATTTAAATCCAAAAGGAGCAAGTGCAAAGCCATAATCAGAAACAGTAGTGTCTGGCAGCGTGTGGGCTGTAAATAGCTATCGCAGAGCTGTGATTATCGAGACAGAGGCTTGAGACTGAACTAAAAATACATCAGATCACTCGGAGAGTGAGTCTACTACGAGGTCTTTTCTCCAAGGCTTGTAAATTTCCATTATGTTTCCTACGAAATGTCTTCCTCAGCAACCACACGAGCCTGGGTGCCCTTCCCACAAGGATGCAGGCCTAGGAGACCATGCAGCGTTGTCTCCCAGATTATGCGGCTAACACAATCGCTTGATGGGTAATGAAAATGTACTTTCAAATTAAAATCAACTCTTGTACAAAATCAACTACTGCTGACAACTGATGAGCGGGCTGAACTGTTTAGGTTAAGACAAAGGGAACACAGAATGGCAATGCACTGACCCCTCACACATCACTACCTCCAGCACTGATGGAGGGAGGCCTTCCAACTTCAGCCTTACAAGTAGGGAAAGATAATCTTGGCTGCGCGCACACTCAGCTTTTCCTTTTCAGTTTACAGACGAGCCTCGAATGTGGTAAAGAAAATAAGTGGAACATGTTGGTTCTGGATAAAAATGTTCGTTTGAACTTAGGAAACAGAGCTCTAAGAAGCATACATACATAGATAACGAAGGTTACTCATAAACGTAACTGCGGAAAACCTGGGTTTCCATGACAATGGTGGCTTTAGAATCAAAGTGCAGAGTTCCGTGAATCTGAGCATTCTTGGCTTGTGAGACACTGATGCGTCAACCTCATCTGGCGGAACTACATTCAGCTCTAACCCCTAACACTGATAAGATGCCCTTCTTTGCAGTTATGTGCGATGGGCCCAGACCTGGAGTTCAAGGAAATATCT